TTCCCCAATAAAATCTTAAAAAAAAAAAGGCAACTTTTGAGAAAGACCTGAAAGAAGAGACAATCTGCAGAAATAGAGGGGTGTGGTAGACGGAAGAACTCCACGCAAAGAGAAGAGAAAGCAAAAGTTCTGAGATGGGACCATGCCTGGTCAGTGTGGCTGGTCAGTTCTGAGATGGGACCATGCATGGTCAGTATAGAGAGTAAAGGTGATGGGGAAGCAGATCTTATGGAGTCTGGTAGGTCATAGTAAGGGCCTTGAATGTTTCTGTGCCTGAGATGGGAAGCTGCTCATTAGACATGACCTGACTTATGTTTTACTAATGTCATCCTGGCTTCAGTGATGAGGATAGACTGGAGAAGGTCAAGGGCAGGAGAAAGGAGACCAGTTAACAGGCTATTGTTATAACCTAGGCAAAAGATGGTTATGGGTTGGGCATTCAAATGGGTGAGTTCTGGCTTTATTTTAAATGGAAAGCCAATAGACCGGATGTAGAGTGACTAAAAAAAGAGTAGAGTCAAGGATGATACCAAGAGTTTTGACCAGAGTAAATAGAAGAAGGGAGAGATATTGGTTCAGGGAGAATATCAGGACGTCCATTTGGATAAGTTAAGTTTCAGATGTTCATGGTCATTCAAGCAGATGTCAAGCAGGCAGTCACGTTCAAGGAAATCTTGATTTAAAGATATAAATCTGAAGTCATCAGCATATACGAGGTCAGACAATTAAGTTTGTGAATTCATCCTAAAAATAGTGCTACATACCTCACTGCTAAATATCACTATAGTCACCTTTGTAGTACTGCCCTTGGGAAGCTATGTACCAACATCAGTGCCTAGTCCACCTTTCAAAGCAATTTTGGAACTCTTTTTCGGAAATGGCCATTAGAACTGTCATCGTATTACGCTTGATGTCTTGAATGTCATCAAAATGACTTCCTTTAAATATTTCCTTTATTGTCAGGTAAAGAAAGAAGTCATTGGCGGCCAGATCAGGTGAGTAGGGAGGGTGTTCCAATACAGTTATTTGTTTACTGGCTAAAAACTCCTTTATAGACAGTGCCATGTGAGCTGGTGATTTGTGATGCAAGAGCCATGAATTGTTAGTGAAAAGGTCGTCATCTAACTTTTTCACACAGCCTTTTCAGCACTTCCCAATAGTAAACTTGGTTAGCTCTTTGTCCAGTTGGTACAAATTCATAATGAATAATCCCTCTGATATCAAAAAAGGTTAGCAACATCATGGCAACAAGTTCGAGAACTTAATTGTCAGACCTCATAGATGATATTTGAATATTTGTATATAGAAAATCCATTTTTTAAATGTTCAAACCTTTGACTTTTACTAAAGCTGTTTCAAAATACCTGTTGTCGGTGACACAGGTACACTCTAGGACAGGTGTAACACTCTGAGGGGCCTAACTGCAAAGTTCAGCTAAAGGTAATACATGAACACATGAGATGACTGTGTTTTTATTGTCTAGTCACGAAAAAATGATAAAATAAGAGGAAAAAGTATCATCAGTTTGTTTACTTATTTTAAATCCTTATTATGAGTTTATTTTATCCTATAACTAGTTCAAATTTTGACATGATTAAGGATTTTTCATGGCTATCAGAACAGGACTTGGGGTAGAGAGTCTCTGCAGACACTTCCCCTTCCACAACCCCTCAAATCTTGGTTTAATTCACATAGTTATCATCTTTAGTTAAGAGCTCTTCTAGATGGCCATTTTCTAGGCTTGCAGCTTTGAAAGAAGCATCATTAGAACCATGATGCTAATGATTCTGATAACCTAAGAAGGAGATTGGGAGCCAGCATGCATTTTCGGAGCTCTTTACTATGCTAAAAAGCCTAGTAATTTATTTCTTGTGAGTTTCAACACTCCAGTCCGTCTGTCCAGATGAATCAGGCGAAAGGTTCTGTTGAGACATTCCTGGAAGCATATTGGAAGTGGCTGGCAGGGATTCCTGCTTCAGGGCCTCCTTTTCAAGGGGTTTTGTGTTCTCCTGCATGAAGATGGTCTTTGTGGAACTAGCTATAGACATCAGTGGCTACATAGAAAACAGAAAAGCAAAAAAGTCATTAGCAGAGATTAAAACATACTTGGTATGACAAGAACACAAAATTGACATTTTCATGCCCAAGATTAAGAACAAAATGGAAACAGACCTACTCTAGCAAAGCATAAAACAAAAATCTGATAGGATCAAGATAACTCAGCAATCACTTAACCGCCTGCCAGAACAAAACTCAACACCTGTTAAAAGAAAACACAATCTAGACTCCTACAAAGTATCATCTATAATATTCAGCACCCAACAATAATTACTAGACATGTAAAGAAGTAGGAAAATGTGGGCCATAATCTAGAAAGTATTTAATAGAAAGAGACCCCAAAATGACAAAGATGCTGGAATTAGCAGACGAAGACTTAAAACAGCTATTACAAACACTTTCAAAAATTTAAAGGAGAAAAATGAACATAATGAGTGAAAAGATAGGCTATATCAGTAGAAAAAAATTGAAACTATGGAAAAGAACCAGATAGAAATTTCAGAATTGAAAAGTACAGTATCCAAAATGAAAAAAAATTCACCAAGTCCCTAAATAGGATATTGGACATTGCAGAAGAAAGGGTCAGTAAGCTTGAAGACAGATCAATAGAAATCATCCAAACTGAGGCACAGAGGGAAAAAGATTGAAAAATAAACATCGTCTCAGTGACCTATGAGGCAATAACAAGCAGTCTAATGTTCATGTAATTTCAGTACCTGGTTGAGGTTGGACTCCTTGGGGCTTAAACTCTACTGGACACCTGTACCTCCATCTTTGCCCAGAAGTCCCAGGAGTCCATTCTGCAATGGACCCTGTGGGCACTGCAGAGAGGTCTGTGAAGTACTTACCCACATAATCTCTAAGACCCATCTAACTTCAAAGTGCCTGTGAGTCTATGCAGCATATACCTGTACTGATTCTACAAAACTGTATTTCTAAAACATTTGTATGGCTCAGATCTTTATAAACAAAGGGATTGCTTTCAGATTTAAAAACAGAATTATGGTTTATTTGCTCAAAGCTGCCTCTGCTTAATGTAGAGAAACTGATCCAAGGGCAACTTATGCGAGCTTTCTTCTAGGTCTGACTCAAATGCCACCTCCTCTGTGAATCCCTTTTTTATTTCTACAATTGGATATGACCTCTACCACACAAAGTGCTCTGCTTCTACTCCTCTTTCGACATATCCACTAGACCAGTAGTATTCAATCTGGGGACTTGAAGACTTTCTAAGGCATATGCAAGCAATGCTGGTTTTACGATATTTTTTAATATCTTGTAAAGCTTTGACTATGTGCATATCAGCCCATCAGTGAAATCAGCAGGCATGCTGAAATCTTATGCAACCCATCCTGGGCCAGCTTTTACAGCACTTGTGACACAAAATCTGAAGGTGAGCAATAGCAAGGAATAGTTCGCAATTCACCTTTAGCCACCAAAACACCGGAACTTAGAATCTTGTCTTATTTGATGTACCTCCACTTCCTTTGCCCTTTATCTCACTTTCAATTTACCAGCACAGTAACCTGCACTTAAATGACACGGCTCTCCCTGGCCAGGTAAACAATAAATTCAGCTTTGTTTTAGATCACTGTTGGGTTCTTTCTATTTTCTTCTAACAAAGGGAATCAGAACCACAACTTGGATAGGAACTCTTTCTGAAAACTGAGAGCTTGCAAATAGTCCAGGCATCATGCTGGCTCTCACTTCCCATCTTCTCTTACAATTGACTTTGTCTCACACTTGGACAAAGAATAGCATACATTTTACTCATGTGATTCTTGCTAAGGAATATTGCCACAGGAGATAAAACCTCTTGAGTGCAACACAAAGGGACAATTGAAAATATTAATGTGAACAAAGTTTTCTTTAATAAGGGCATCATAAAACCAGGGTGGGGTTTTGGGAGTGTTTCCCTGTCTTATATATTTATATTTCTATTAACAGTGCAGCATGTTGTCAGCAAAGGATTCGAGTGGGCAGCAAAGTGATACCAACTTTTGCCTAATGATCTCACCTCTACCATCTCCCAACAATTATTCTAAGAATATTCCGAAGGGAGGGCTCACTTAGATGGTTGTCTAACAATACTATGAAACCATCTTTGTTTTGATTTATTTATAAAATATCCAGACTTTAAAAAATCTATCAATCGTTTATGAGGAAAGCTGAGCATATTTGTATAAATGTAAAAAGTCTTAATACTTTCATGTCTTCATCAAAGTGGGCTTTGGAAACCAGCAAAAGCTAGTTAATTGAATAAGGCTGTATTAAAGATTTTAACACACGGGATATAGTGATAGTTATGAAGATGTCAGGTAGTGAGCCTAGTAAGACAATTCGCTATCCAGGTATCATGTCCTTTGTAGGAAACACAAAGGACATAATTTTGTGGCAAAAATTAGGGGAGTGAGGGCCGGCCGAGCGGCTCAGCTGGTTAAGAGCTCGCTCAAGAGTTTGAGCTCTGAGCAACAGCAGTACGAGTCCCGGCCTGAGCTGAGCAGCCGCTAAGCTGCCAACAGGTGGCAGGATGGCTCAGCTAAAAAAAAACACAAAAATTAGGGGAGTGGAAAGATATGCTTGTCAGACCAATAAATACTCAGTTGTCTGCAACTATTCCAAGTTAATCATTTATGAGCACTATTATAGCATCACTGAGGTGGCATCTATGGCTTGATACATAAATAAATAGCATATAATAAATAAGATCAGCAAATAGTGTATAATAAGTAAAATAATATGCCTGAAGTATATACTGATAACCATATTTGTTTTCTGAAAAATGTTCGATAATTTTTGAAAAGGGCTCAAAGGATCTTGTATAAAAATATATTTGTTCCAAGTGACATATTAGATTATTTGTAAATCTGATATTTTTTAAAACAGTAACATCTAAGGTATTTCTTAAAATCTAAAATGGAACTGTCTTTAAACACTTTCTTTTTTCATTGACAATGATCTTATTGGCAAGAATTTTCATGTCAATAAGACTGGTTTACATAGAACCACATGAACATGGAGGCAAAAGTAGGCTACTGGGGACCTCCATCCATGTGCTTTGCACGGTGGCCAGGCTGATGGTGGACTTCTTAGAATCCATCACTGGGATATGTGTGCCCAAAGCTGGGTTCCTTCTCCCTACCTTGTGACACTTTTCATACTCCTGTTGAATCTGACATTCTTCCTGCTTCAGCATTTCTGTCCTTTGAGTTTCCTTGAGGCTATTATCATACTCTTCCTTCAGCCGGATCTTCTCTTGTCTATCCTGGGGCGATGTGACATGGTTGAATCAGAAGCGTGTACAAAGGGGCCCTCTCTCACTGGGACTGGCCGCAGGCCCTTCAGGCTTCCTGAGTCCGCTCCTGTAACTAGCGTTAGCCTGCTAGTAGCTCCAAACCCACAAAGTCCGTCACTCCTGTGAGATGGATTCCTTCTTTAGCCTCCCCCAGGCTCTATGTGCTTCTAGGATATCTGGGCCCACGCTACCCTTGCAAGCTGGATAAACAGAGAAATTCCCCAGGACAGCTCCAGAATCTGGCCTTGGACTTCCAGTTACTCTGGGAAAGCTGGAAAGCCCGCCCCAAGCCAACCCAGCATGTATACACACCGCTTCTTTTGCTTTAGTGGTTTCCCTGTAATGATAAAGCCAATGGGCCAGGTACTCTATGGGGTCACTGGGCTGAACCTTCGCCACCTCTGCGAGTCCCTGGGCCAGGCAATTTCCAAAGCACCTTTTCAGGTAGTCAGGTTCCATCTTGTGGGCTTGGGACACATCAAAACAGAGTCACACTATGTTACACATCTAATTGGATTTAAAAAATAAACATTCCATGAGATGTTTCTGGATCCCACCCTTCCCCAAAGAATAAATAAATGCATACATGCCAATAGCTCCTACATTCAAGAGGGCTTTTTTCTAAAGCTCTCCAGCTGTCCTAGCAGAGCCCATGACCAGCGGTAGCTGCAGTGCCCAGCATCTTCGGTCCCTCTGCCCCCCAGGGATTCTCAGTGGGCTTTTGTGAAATAAATTAGCCTGTCTCACCTAGGTCATAGATGACTATAGCTCCCATCCTCACAATAGCACAGCTTGTTGGGTGCTCAGAGCCCCTCTCAGTGCCCATGCCTTCTCCGTTATTTCCTCTTCATTCAGGGGTAGAAATTATCCTAGGTCAGATAATAATAGGTCCAGGGGGTCATCAGGCCTGACAGAAGCTTGATAGATTGGTGGTTAAGGGTGGCTAAGGCCTCCACTTACCCACACATTTCTACCCTTGAGTGGAAGAAAATAACAGAGAAGGCCTGGGCCCTGAGAGGGGCTCTGAGCACCCAGCAAGCTGTGCTATTGTAAGGATGGGCGCTACAGTCATCTACGACCTAGATAAGATAGGCTAATGTATTTCACAAGGGACCACTGAGAAGCCCTGGGGAGAAGAGAGATGGAAAATGCTGGGCATTGTACAATAGCTACTGCTGGTCAGGGGCTCTGCCAGCACTAAACATGACATTCTACTCTCTATTGCTTAAGTAAGAAAGTACATTAGGTTGAGCTGATTCACTGTTATTCAGATTTCAAGAGCTGGAGGCTGTGTAGCCTGAGTTAGACCACAGTGAAGAGAGGCAGTGCAGTGCAGCAGTGCAAATACAGACGCTGGGATCAGACAGACCAAGCTCCAGCGCTGCTTCTGCCATTTATTAGCTGTGTGGTCCTCAGCAAGTCACCAGTCTCTGTGAGCCGTGGTTTCCTCATCTGTAAAACAGAAAAACAAAGGCATGTGCCTCATAATTGTGAGGATTAAAGGAGGTAATAAATGCATGTAAAGCACTTAGCCTGGCACATCGTAAGTGCTTAATAAATATTAGCTATTACAGTGGAAGATTATGATATGAAATGCTCTAAAATCTGACCTATTCCTCACCAACTCCATATTCCTGAAGTTTATGTATTTTACCTCCAAAAAAGAGAATAATAAAGTGACTAATAAAGAAAGGCTCAGATCCAGTCTGGAAGAGTGAAATTCAGGGAATTAATAACGCAGCTAAATTTAGCTAGTTTGCAGTTTGACTCATTGCATAGTTCACCATCTAGCCACCTGTGATCAGACTTAGTTTGTTTGCAATTTGACACATTCTGATATTCATCTGTTTGCTCTTTGTTTCTTCCCTCACTGATTATTAACTGATGAATTCTGTTTGTTCCCTTTCTCAAGGCTATCCATACCTTATTAATAACAACATCCTAATCTGGGAAAGAGCAATTTCTTAATCTTCAGGCGTCCAGACACTAGAATTCAATTTACAACTCCCTTGCAGTTTTTAACTGGTGAGGCATTAAAGTCCCAGACTGCGATGGCCAAGTCCGAGTCCAGGGTCTGGAGATATGATCGTCTTCAAACAGACCAGACCCCAGGAAGGAAGTCAGCCCTCAAACCTGCCTGACAAACTCCCCCTTTCTTATATAAGAAAAAGCTAACCTAAAGTTAGGTACAGCTGTCCACTCTCAGACTCTGGACTCTGCCCCGGCGACACCCCTTTGGCCCTCACTGGTGTTTCTCTCCTTACAACCTGTGGCAGCCGTCACTTTGGACACTGCCACGGGTATTCTCTATGCCCTAACTTTAATAAAAACTTCTTTTGTAGAGTCTGTGAATGCTTTCACCTTTGGCAAACAACCAGGGGTTAATTCTACGCCATGATACAGTCAACATTTTCTGGAGGCATTTTTCAGTTTAAAGAAGGAAAGATAGATAGATGATAGATAGATATGAATATATATATATATATATATATATATATATATATATATATATATATATATATATATGTCTCCTTGCTTTTCCCATTGCAAAGGCCTAGAAGCCAAATGCCTCAGTAGCAATGAGCACACTAAGCATCAGAACTTGTCCTTAAATAGCTGTCACCACTTAAAAGAAATCAGGACTCCTTGGAGTAAAATAAGAATCCATGAGTCCATATAAGAATATAAGTACGTAAGTGAATGTGAGATACAGTAAGTTCTTTCTTAAAGTAGAATGCCAACTAATAAATGTGGAAAGAATAATGAAGTTTTTTTTTTTAATTACCATTTTGTAACACCATAGTCTAACTGAATCAAGCCAGAATCATCAGTGAAGGCTAAAACTCAGTGAGCATTTGACAAGGACTAGGATATTTATACAGTCTCGAAGTTTCTCCTCACAAATTAAGTATTAATTCCAAAGGGAAATATAGAAACTTTACAGTGATAAAACTTGACCATCGCAACTTTAACCAAAGGATCAAAGTAAATATCACCAATAAGGGACAAAGTGGCATAGTGTGTCTCCTGATGTGATTCACTTCTTAGTGGGACATAATACATTTCTGTGGATTCCTGCCCCAAATGCAAAACTTGAATCTGATTGAGGAAACATCAAATAGAGAGACAGTATACAAGGTCATGAAAATGCCAAGGTCATGAAAGACAAAACAAGATAAAGAACCATTCCAGATTGAAGGAGCTTAAGCAGGCATGCAGTTCATGATCCTGGATTGGATCTGGACCAGGAAAAAAAAATTCTATAAAGGACATTGTTAGGAAAATTGAATAAACTGAATGTGAATTGTAGATTACATAATAGAATTGCATCAAAGTTAAATTTCCTCGTTTTGGTAATTGAAATGTGAATTAAGAAAATGTCTTTCATTTTAGGAAATACACAGTGTGACAGGGCTGAAAAATGGCTCACCAAAGTGTCCAAGTCCTAATACCTGGAACCTATAAAATATGTTACCTTATATGGCAAGGACTTTGCAGATATGATTAAATTAAGGATTTTGATTTGGGGAGATTATCTGGATTATCCAGGCAGGCCCAAAGTCTTTATGTGAAGGACACACCAAGACAGACAGAAAAGGAGATGTGATGACAGAATAGAGGGAGCCAAGCAATGTAGGCAGCCTCTAGAACAGGGCTCGGCAAACTGCGGCTCGCGAGCCACATGCGGCTCTTTGGGAACGTACAGGTGGCTCTGAAGTAAAATTGAAAATTAAAATGAAACTATCATAGTTTCATTTATAAAATTTTTAAAGGCTATTATTCACATAATGGTGATTTCATTTGTTTTATGGCTCTCGAATAACTTTTAAATTTTTGTGAGGGACAGGCTTGGCTCTTCCATCTCAAAAGTTTGCTGACCCCTGCTCTAGAAGCTGGAAAAGTCAAGGAAATGGATTCTTCTCTAGAGCTTGTAGAAAGAATCAGCCCTGCCAATACTTAGTTTTAATCCTGTAGAACTCATTTTCGATTTCTGACTTCAAAAACTGTAAAAGAATAAATATGTGTTTGAAGTTACTAAGTTTGGGGTTTAGGGGTTCAGAACGAGTCACCCCAAGATGTGCTTCTGTGGCACGCAGATTGTTTTGAGCTAAAGGCAACCAAGACTCTGTGGGCTCTAGAGAAACTTACGCCCTCCCCCCTTAACTACCTAGAAGAATTTAAATTAGGGGCCTTGCCCATAGTAAGAGATGATCAGAGATAACATTTTTTGAGCTATCGATAGGGCCAGGAAAACTTCTAATGGCTGAACATCTGCTCTTAAACATCTGCTTGTCTTAGTGTCCTGCAATGACCTTCCTCCCCTCTGAAGCCCCAAGGTGATCCTTAGCTCAGAATGTCATATATACCTCCTTTTCTCTTTCTGTGGTTGAATCTCTCATGTATGTGGGGTTCCCATACATATATATGAGTATGTAATTAAATTTGGTCATTTTCTGTTGTTATTCTGTCTTATGCCTAATTGATTATTAGACCAGCTGAAAGACCCTTGAGGGTAGAGGAAAGTTTCTTCCTCTCCCATAGGAATACTGGTGGAAGTTGGAGATGGAGGTGTGTGTTGTCTTTTTGCCAATCTGTGGCCCACCTGAACCAATGCACTTGGAAAAGCTACCTTCTACATCCCTTTACTCAAGGGTGGTCCACGATCAGCAGCATCGCATCACGTGGGGGCTTGCTGAAATGCAGATTTTCAGGTCCCACCCCAGGCCTAAAGATTCAGTCTACATTTTACCAAAATCCCCAGATGATTCGAAGTTACAGGTCTACTTTGCCTTTATCATTGTAGAATTGCCCTTCCCAGAGAGTAGAATTACCAATTTAGCATTCCTAGGAAGCCTCTCCACTTCAGGTCCTTGGGCGGTTGCCCCTCTTTCTGGAGAAAGCATCTGCTCCAAATTGTACATTGTCAACAATGGTCTCAATGAAATATGTTGATCTGACAGTTACTAAGACTTGATGCAAAGACAGTAGGGCCACAATAACAGAGCCACAATGTGAGGCCTGGAGAGGGAGGGGGCAGAGGGATAACTTTTACAGCCCACTCCCGACCAACTCTGGGCACACTCACCAAGGGGGAGGGGGCTATTTTTCAGAGTCTCCCAGGGCTCCTCAGCGGGTCTGCGTAAACTGGTCCCCCTTGTTCATGGCCCTGCACTCAGTATGCAGAACAATAAGCATGGAGATTGTCTTTGTTCACACTCTTTTCTCAGTGCTAGTCACACAGTATGTGCTCAGTAAATACTTCTTCATCAGCCAGGGCTTTGATGCTTGTGAGCCCACCCAGACAAGGGCTCATGCTCCCTTCAGTCAAAGCCCACTCTGGCACTTACTACCTTAGCCAACGTTTAGTGAGGCATCTCCTGCCTAGCACTGCCTGCCCTGCATGTGAATTAAAACAACACTCCAGGATATGCTAGCAGAGTATTGGGCACAAGACCAGGCCAGGGAAGACTGCAATGGCTCTGGCCTGGCAGAGGTTTGGATGGCTTCCTGGAGGTGAGGGCACCTGAGCTGGTTCTAAAAGCAACCAAGCAGAAGTCACGAGCAAGTGCAATGTTGTGAAGTCCTGAAAATACCGGGCCATCAAGCTTTCAGCGATTGTCTCCTCTGGCCTAGGGTTTGTGTGGGGGGGTCTCCCCCATTCACAGACAGATAGCCCTTTGCGGCTCCCCAGTGCGCGGGCCTGCCAGTCCCGCTCTATTCCTTTTTTTCTTTTTCGGTAAAGCAGAGAAAAACTTTATTCTTTGATCATGGAATGAATGGAGAAGGGTGAGCTCCTGCTTTAATGGCACCTTCTCCCTCCATTCTTCTTTTCAAGGCCCTTCCTCACAGCCTTCAAGTTGCAAGTCTCTGCTCACCTATCCTCGCGCCCACCCCTATCCGCCCCGCGTTCTCTCTCCTCCCGCGCTCTCAGCTCACCCGCGTTCTAGCCCCCTCCTCTCTGCTTCGCTTCCTCCTCCCCCAGCCCCACGTTCTCAGCTCACCCGCGGACGCTCCCCTTCCTCATTGCCGAGCACCTCCTTCGCTCACCCGGCAAGTGCGCTCGTTGCCTAGCGACGGGACGCGACTTGCAGTTTGAGGGTAGGCGCGTGCGCCAGGCGTGCGTGTGGAGAGCGCAGGCGCCTTTTGGGAGACCGGGTCCTGGGGCTTGGCTCGAGTCTGGCTGCGCTGGCGATTTGGGCCGTTGGACCTCGAAGTGGTGTAGGGCTCAGGCGATGCCCAGGCTCCCCGAGCCCAGCGAGGGGTAGTTCAGCGCCGGGGGCTCTATAGGCGCGTCTGGGGCGGGCTCCCTCCTCCTCTGCAGTGGGCGGGCTCCCTCCTCCTCTGCAGTGGGCGGGGTGGAGGGCGGGGAAGGTGGGGACCCTTCGGCGGATCCGGGATAGGAAAGGGAACCCAAGCGCCCCGAATGAAGGATTGCCAGATAAAATACGGGACGCCCAGTTAAATTTGTATTTTAGAGAAATAAGGCATAACCTTTTAATATAAGTATAGTATAGTACAAAGTCATTCTCTGTTTCTCTGAAATTCAAATTGAACTGGGCACACTGTCTTTTCTGAATTTGGCAGCCCTACATGGATTCCACCCCCCACCCCCACCTCCCTTTTCCATTAGGCTGACTGGCTTTCTCCCAGGCATGGGCGAGGGACCTCTTTTCTATTTCTTGTAACAACTTCTCCAGGCTTGAGGCAGTTGTTTTCTGGGGAAAGGCTTTCTTATAAAAAAAAAATAATAAAAAAACCCCCAAAACCCCCCACAAAAACCCATTACTTAACAACACCTTCATGAGATGGGTATTATCACCATTTCATGGACAGGAAACAGGCTGAATGAGGTAAAGAGCCTCACCTGGGTCCCGCTGATAATGCGATGCAGGGCCCATAGACCTGAGGCGGACCCTCGATGGGACCCTACCTTTAGGCCAGAGGTTTCTCACTTAGGGACCATGGTTCCTTTCCCATGTACTTTCTTTCTGGATGAGCAACAGGAATCTGTACTCTTTTTAAATCTTACATTAACATTAATTTTTGTCTTTAGAGTATATCCTATTGAAGAAATACAGTGAAGATATTGTGTTCCAAACTCAGTTGTAATAATTTTTTTCTCAGTGTGGTGAAGACAACAATGCCAGCTTGATCGGGAATCAGGTTTGTTTGTTCCAGCTTTTAGAGTTTTGGTTTTTATGATTCCATTTATCTACACACATAGACATACCTATTCCTTTCCCCACTGCTGTTGCTAATACAAAAGATGGCAAACTATATACGGTTTTCGCTCCTTGCATTTTTTCCCCTTCATACCATGTCATAGAGATCACTCTTTATTTTTAGAGATCTTCCTCATTCTCTTTTATATCTCCATAGTCATCCATTATGTCACTATAGCTCATTAATCCTTAATGATGAACATTTGGATGGGATTTCAGTATGGCTACTTCATATTTTTGCAAGATAGGATCCCAGAAGTGAGATTGATTGGGTCAAAGGGTAAATACATATGTAATTTTCTAGATATTATGGCATTCCTCTCTATAGGGGTTATACCATTTTGTACTCTTCACCACCATAGCATGAGAGAGAGCGGTATTAGGGTCTACGGAAGAATCTCAGGAGGTCATTTTTTAAAATTTAAGTATAGTTGGAATACAATATTAATTTCAGGTGTATGGTGTAGTAACTCAACATTTCTATATGTTACCATGTGATCACCACACTAAGTCTAGTAATCATCTGTCAACGTACAAAGGTATCACAGTATTATTGACTATGTTTCCCTCCACCTTTTTTACCCATCCCCCGACTCCCCTCCCTTCTGGCAACCATCAGTTTGATCTCTGTTTATATGAGTCTGTTTTCGTTTTGTTCTGTTTTTTAGATTTCACATATAAGTGAAACCATATGGTTTTTGTCTTTCTGTCTGACTTATTTCACTTATTAAAATACCTTCTAGTCATTGTGTTTAAAAGTTTCTGTAGAACGTTAGGTGCATTTGTCCAGGGACAGGTCTAGATGCGTGGGCATTCTACCCCCTATAATTGCTCATGCCTGACATATGAGAGGTACTCAGTATATATTGGGTTGTCAGAAAAGTCATCAGAAAAGTCATCACGCATTTTTGCAATGAAAATCATAGAAAAAATACGTTATGACTTTTCTGACAATCCAATATATACTGTACTCAGTGTACATATCCAGAAGAGTCTGGATTCCATAAGGGTGATTTTAGGGTGAGCAGTTTTTTTGAAGCACCTGAGATATAGTGGTTGATTCATTTCATTCTTAAAAAAAAATCTGGTCTAAGGTTATTCTTGTCCACCTTTATAACTAACAGGCTGGCACATCACTGGGAGAGTGAAGAAACTTATGCATTTGCCACTGTGGAGAGCCAGCTGTGTCAGTCTTGTGATTAAAATGCTCCTTGAGGAGCTAGAGGAGTTTGTCTTCTAGTGGGAGGACAGACGTGTGTACACCAATAATTCTCAGGCAGTGTGACAAGTGCTGTGTGAGCTGCTCGAGGAAGGAGGGACATCTTTGCATTGCCTGGGAACGCCTAGGGAATGGGAGATGATTGACATCTTGAAGGTGAGGAGATACTTTCCAAGCTGAGAGGTAGTGAGGCATCCCCATGTACAAAAGTCATGGAGAAGGAAACATGCAGGGTGTGATCAGCAGAAGGGCAGCAGGTTCAGCATAGTTAGAGCCCAGGGGATGCTGACGTCAATTTTTCAGATATGTTATGAGGATTAAGTGAGACATGCATTGCTTGACATACAGTCCTCTCACAATCAATAATGGCAGTATTC